TTTCCTACCATCTTTTTTAAAGATTTTATTTATCTATTTGACAGACACAGTGAGAGCAGAAACACAGGCAGGGGAAGTGAGAGAGGAAGAAGCAGACTTCCCACCGTGCAGGGAGCCCAATGTGAAACTTGATCCCAGAATCCTGGGATCATGACCTGAGCCGAAGGCAGACTCTTAACGACTGAGCCACCCAGGTACCCCAAGACTTTTTTTTTATTTATATTTTGACCGAGAGAGAGAGAGAGCGAGAGAGAGCGAGAGCGAGAGCAAGAGAGAGAGTGAGCACACAAGCAGACAGAGCGCCACGCAGAAGGAGAGGGAGAAACCGGCTCTCCGCTGAGCTGATGTGGGACTCCATCCTGGGACCCCCGGGTCATGACCAGAGCTGAAGCCAGTCACCTAACCAATTGAGCCACCCTGGTGCCCCTCCTGCCAAAATCTGAAACTGAGGAATCCTGTTCTGACTCTGATATCAGCGCCACCACATATACTGATAAAGCCTGTACGACTCCAGGGGTGGGTTGCCTACTAACTGCCTACCTTTCTTATGCTCTCATCATCTATCCTTACTCAACCAGCTACTCTAGCCCATCAGGTTCTCCATTTTCAATGATCTATTTAAACTGTGTTCTATGTGCCAGACATGGGGCTAGATCTTCCTTCATGAAATTTACTGTTCTACTTCTTTCCCCCCTGACCCCAGGTTATGAGACACAGCCAGATTTTATTTACTTCATTCTCTTTTCAGCTGTGTATCCTTGGGTCTATGTTTGTAAGGGTATTATGACTAGTAACCCCTACTTGTTTTCTTTTTTTTTTCTACATATGTCCTGCCAACTCCCAGCTCCAATCCTTTGCTGAATTTATTATGTATTTATGAGGTCAAACTTTACCTGAACACTCCACACTCACTCCTCCAAATTGTATTTTCACCAGCTGCTTAACATTCTCCCTCTTAGCAGAGAACCTCCCTTACTACTTTACTGGAAAGGCTATAAGCATTCCTTTCCCTGACATGCTTTGCCCATTTCCAATTATGTTAAGACTCGTTCTTATTCAAGTCCTTTGCTTCTTAAACCTGGGCTTTTATCCCATAAGCCTAGTTGTTTCTAGGACCTTGCTTTCTAGGACCTTGCTTGAATTTCTTCCTTTCCTATTTCTTCAATCTCTTTCTTGATCCCCCTTCATGGATCTTTTCCCTCTATAGACAAACTTCTTCAAATGGGGGAAAATATGTCTCCCAACTCTGAATCCCTTTCCAACTGCCATCCTCTTTTTCATTTTCCCATCGCTGCAAAATTTTTTAAAAGAAAAAGCCATACTTTCTGTCAGTTCTTCACTTCTTATTTAACCCAAAACCCATGTAGTCTGCCTCCTCCACTTCCTGGAAACCATTCTCCCCAATATCACCGGGTACTCCCAAATGTAAACCTAGCTTCTTTTAGAGCTCCTCTGACTTAACCTGTCCACAATGCCTGCTACTAATGACCTCCTCACGAAATGCACATCCTACCCCTCTGCTTTCCCCTCCTTTTCTTTTACAGGTTCCTCCTCATCTGTCCACCCAAGATTTTTCCAACATGAAAAATCTTCTTAATTTAAAAACATCTTCTGGGGAGTCTGACTCCTGCTATAATCCAGGCATCAGTATCTGTAGCCTCCACCTCCTTCAAACCCCTAAATACTCGGATCTTTTATTTTTTTTCTTTATGCAATATCACCAAATTGGTTCCAGAGAAATCTCTCAAGTATAACTACTTCATATTTATAGTTATATATAACTATCAATAATACAGAACATCTGCTTTAATGGGCATCTGAGTTTGGCATAGTTTTTTTCACACACACAAAAAATCTTGGGAACAAACCTAATAACACATGCCTATGAGAAGTCTGGAATGCCACCCCACATCCTCTTAAGAGTTGAGAGGGCCAAAATTCCACCAGTCTGTTTTTTTTTTTAAATATATAATTTTATTTTTATACTTGACAGAGGGAGAGCACAAGCAGGGGGAGAGGGAGAAGCAGGCTCCCCACTGAGCAGGAAGCCTGATGTGGGGCTTGATTCTAGGACCCTGGGATCATGACCTGAGCTGAAGGCAGATGCCCAACCGACTGAACCACGCAGGTGCCCCTCTACCTAGTCTGTTATTTTAGGTTTGCTCTAATCCAAAGGCAGAAAAATAAGTTCCTATTGCTTAATACCTTATAATATGTCTCCAACGATTTTAACCTGAAATATTTATAGCAGGGTTAATCATTTCAAGTATTTAAAAATCATAGAATATATAACTTTGAACAATACAACTTCTTGGAGCCAAGAAAATCTTTTATATAATTAAAACTGTCTGAGGTCACAATATTTGGGATTATTAGCAATAAACCATTTTATAAATTAGAAGATGCATTCTAAAAATAATGACTTTAATATTAGAAAAGTTGTCTTTTATTAATTTTTATCCCTAATTTTTGGCAGTAATTAGATACTAGGCTAACTACCTATTATGGCCAAATCTAGATTTTAATAATTAGACCACATTGTGGTAGACATCTGTCTGGTTTATCCTCTAACATCAACCTAGTAACATCAATCCCTTTCAAACTGCCTTTCCTCATTCCTTCTAGGTCTGTTGAAACCTTTAATCAGAGAAATACCACCCCCCTCAACATTCCTGGTGACCAGATACTGTTAATAATACTACACTGCAGTTATGACCATAGTGATTGGCCCAATCACTTAGCTGAAGTGTGAGCGTCAGTTAAGTCAATCAGAATCTTTCCTGGGGATTTATATGGCTTTTGAAGAAGAAAAGTGTTCTTTTCTTTCCAAGGTCACTAAGTAAAAATAATGTAAATAAGCCTGGAGCTGTTCAGGAATAGTCTCCTTTCTCCCCAGTCTCCCCAGCCCAGACATATGAGAAATTCCAGACCAATGCACGAACAGGTGAGAGTAAAGAAGTAGAAAGAGAGTGAGAAGAACCTAAAGATGCCATTTGAGTCCCTGAGGCAAGACCCACTCTTGGATTCCCATTCGTGTGACTCAATCTATTCTGTCTGCCTAAGCTAGTTTGAGTTAGGTTTTTCTCAGTTGCTTCTGAGGAGTCCTGACTAATCAACATATCATCTATGTATAAGGGAATACTTATCTTTTCATCCTCTATAACAGGAGGGCATGTACCCAGCTGTCCCAATTGATAATCAGCTCATTTCCAAAACTGATGGCTCATGGAATGTTAATATCCCACAGGATGTTAAGATGTGTGCCATGGATAATGTGTTTGGCTATTCAAGTAAGCTTCAGAAAGATAAACAAAGTGAAATGGGTTTCTTTATAGTAGAATCTCGCAGAATATTTATTAGAATATGGTAGTATGCATTATGAATTTTCAAAAAGAAGACTAGTATGCTAATTTCCCCAAATTATCTGATAATAGCTTTTTCTAATAGAATCCAGTTTGGGAAATATTACTTGTCTTTCCATTGAACAAGCAGAGATATTCAAGTAAGCAAAGTAATAGGCATAAACAGATATACACTTATTCATTTGCACTACAGTGATTTGTTTCCATGTGTTGTTTGTGTTAGACTACATTTTCTGAGTACATTGGCTGTGTCTTAAATGAGTTTGTATCTCTAACAACTAGCATAGTGCCTAAAACAGAAGGCAATATTCATTATTCATCAAAAAAATGAAAGAATAAATGACGAACAAAATTTTAAATGTAATGGCAAACATTCAATTAAATTTTCTAAATTGTAGATAAATAACAAGAGTCGACAGAATGAAAAATAAAGAATAAGTTGAATACACACCCTTCTGTTAAGCCTGTCTAATCAATGGGTATTCCTTGTAAGATATGAAATCGTTTGAGGAGGTGACAGAGGAGTAAGAGAAGTTGAAACACTGGCGAACAAATCAGGCACTTAGATCCTTTGGACAATCTGGAACCATGGATGCTAAAAACCATGACATCCATGACACAGACTTGCTAGTCCTGTGGTTTTGGAGGGGCAGCAGAGGCAGGAATGACTTGGCTTTCAGCAATGATTTATGATGATCTGGAATGTAACAGGCTATCCCAGTACAGCAGCATTTATTTGCCTAATTGCCTTCATTATTTCATTTGTTCAACATGTTTTTATTAAGTGCCACATATATGAATATGTAAAAATCATAATCCTATGATTTTTATGATAAGCCCAGAGCAATTAGAAACACCTATCAAGTAAACAAACACATAGTTTTTAATCCATCCAGAAGCTTGCCACTTGCCATCATAGGAATTCACTAAGAAGAGACATCTGTCATTCGACACTAATTGGGTAATTTGCACAGTGACTCTTGAACTCACAAATGGTTCACAGTAGATAAAGTTTAGTGTTACAGCTAATATGTATTGCATTTTAAAAAATCTTCAAGAATCTATCTAATCATTTTATCCATTATATAAGAAGGAAACTCATGTTGAGGGTTTACCTCACAATATTAGCTTTCTTTAAATTTTCGCACTTTGGTTTGTAAAGAAAAAGAAATAATTTAAAGGTAACAAGGTGACAAGCATGGGTGTTTTGTTTTACTGGATTTTTTTCTGAGGAATTCTTATAAGATACGTATAATTTCTGATGACCCTAATTTCAAGAAGAGTGTTTTCAGAATAATCAAAACTGAAAGAAGCATCAAGTTAGACTAAAATTTTAAAAAGCCATACTAATAACACACACCACTGGGTTATCAAATTATAACATTTCAGTTTATTTGTTTTTTTTTCCCCTATTTTCAACTTCTGACTTCAACTGGTCCCTTATTTCCAGAGATAGACATTTGTGTCATTTTGATGGAACTGGTTTCTCTTCAGGAATCCCGATGGGATGGCATTGAGAACAAAAGAAACCACAGTCCTCTCCCTCAAACAAATGATTTAAGTAAATAGGATTAATAAAACTTGCCTTCTCTAATATTGTTTGAAAATCCCCCCTACATTCTCTTTCTTCCTTCCCAGGTCTCTCAGAACTTCTGTAGACAGCAAACATCAAAAGGACCAAAGATTTTTATAGTGATTCAGCTGCCCACAGCAATGAAGTAAACCCTGATTTTCTTTCAGCCTAGGAAATGATCAGCGAACAGGCTTTACAAACAGCCTCTTTAACATTTGAAGTTAAAAAAAAAAAAAAATCAATGTAGCAGAATGGTTACTTTCATAAACACCTTCGGGGACTTTTTTTTTCCCTCTCCTTTTTTTTTTTTTTCTTAAGTAACCCTGCTAATCCTCCCTCTACAAACATTATAGAATATTTTCTTTACCACGAAAATATTTTCTTTTTGATTAGACATTTTAAGTATGTTTTCTTAAAAAAACAAAAGATGAAATGTATTTTGTTTTGGGCATGATTTTCCTCATATTTTTTCCTTGGCTCCCATAAATGCTGATAGACTCTCGTCGCCCCTGGAGTTTCTGCCTCCAAGTTTCGGCTTGCCTCTCCAGTGACTTCCTGCCCAGTCACGCCTCTCTTAGCAATCTCCTTTTGGTCTCAGAATTCAGCCTTAGGGACTGAACTCTGAAATCACTGTATGTTTTCTTTGTTTAGAGGCAGATTCAGTGCACCCTACAGTCTGGCCAAGTGAACAGTGATGTTTCGATCTCAGGGGAGAGGGCCCATCCCCAGGGCCAGCTCCATGAGCTCTTATGGCAATACTGCAATTTTTCCAGGTGAGATGCTGAAGCCGATGTTCAAGAAAGGCTACTACTTGAAGCCAAGTGAGAGATGTGTGGCTTTCTCCACAGCTCAAGCAGATAAACAAAATTGGAAATAGTACTATAGACTGAAGTGACAGGAAACCAAATTTACCGGAAAAGAGAAAATAATAAACAGGGCAGAGATCCAGATAAATTTAAAGGTAATACCTACAGAGGCGCCTGGGTGGCTCAGTTGGTTAAGCTTCCGCCTTCGACTCCGGTCATGATCCCAAGGTCCTAGGATTGAGCTGCATGTTCGGAATGCGGCTCAGCGGGAAGCCTGCTTCTTCCTCTGCTCCTCCCGCCCTGCTCGTATTTTTTCTCTCTCAAATATATAAGTAAACTCTTTAAAAATAATAATGCTTATATCACTGACCTTCAGCTCCCCTTTTAAAGGATATATATTTTTTCTCAACAACACTGTTTAGTTACAGGCAGAAATAAATTTCAAAAAACACTGTATTTTCCTTTCCTACATTAAGCTAGAGATATCCACACCCATATTCCTTGCAACCTCTCTTTGAATGGAGAAATGGAGAAATTCCTAGAGGAGAGTCATGGATCAGAGAAGTACAGTAAAGCAGGTGAACAAAACACACAATTTATACAATTTAATAGAATATCAGAATTATAGTTTAATCCCAAGCTTGGGGAACAGCTGGGGAAAAGGTGGACAGTCTAGAAGAGAAGTAATGCAGAGTTTCCTAAGTAAGTTGCTGGTGTAAACAAAACAGGTAATTAACTTTCATGGAATTTTACTTAATAAAAGTTATATTTAAAAAAGAGTTATGGGGCGCTTGGGTGGCTCAGTGGATTAAGCCTCTGCCTTCAACTCAGGTCATGATCTCAGGGTCCTGGGATCGAGTCCTGCATTGGGCTCTGCTAGGCAGGGAGCCTGCTTCCTCTCTCTCTCTCTCTCTGCCTGTCTCTCTGCCTACTTGTGATCTCTCTCTGTCAAATAAATAAAATCTTTAAAAAAAAAAAAAAGAGTTACATTAGCCAGATGATGGCCTCTCTAGACAGCTAACAAAGACACCAGAAGATGAGTTGTCTCTGTACACATTTTGCACGGAGTGTAAAGCAACAGCATGAGAGGTTCCTTAGGAAGAAGAGCTCTTTCCAATCTTAAGACCTTCTTAGTTATCAACCTCAGAAAAGAAACAAGCCTGGCTCTCCCAGGAGCCCTAATCATGACCCCCAAACAGTAAGCCAACAGGAAAATCCACCTAGTCTAAATTAAACTAACGAAAGGTCTAGATTATTTACCCTAATTCAAGTTACTGGGTGATCCAATGGCCTGGATAGCAAAGGAAAGTGATTTTTTTTTCCTTTAAAAGCTATAAACTGAAGGTGGACACAATTCTAATTTCCTTTTTTTAATTATTTTTTACATAAGGAATTACCTTACTTATTAATCAAAATTGATAAAACTGGAAAAATAGTTTTGAAACAAAAATTAAATATGGCTGCCCCAAATGACTAACACAATGGGCAATAGTTAAATTCGCTCTTCAAATATTAACACTACATGTACACATCATTCATCCTTACTTTTTTAAATTGAAGTATAGTTGACACACAATGTTACATTCCTTTCAGGTGTGTAACATAAGTGATTTGACAAGTCCTTATGTTATGCTGTGCTCATCACAAGTGCAGCTACCAATTGTCCCCACACAACACTATTACCATACCACTGATTGTATTTCCTATGATGTACCTTTTATCCCTGTGGCTTATTCTATAAATGGAGGCCTGTATCTCCCATACCGCTTCACCCATCCATCTTGCCCATTCCCCCACTCCTCTCCCCTCTGGCAACCATTAGTTTGTTCTCTATTTACACACAGTTCTAATTTCTTAAAGATACAGCCAACCTTGTCACATATATGAAAGGCAACTCACATTTTCTCTCCGAGTAACTCTAAATTTTAATCCTTATTGTCCTCTCCCAGATGTCACAACTCCTCCTGCCAGATTCTCCATTATTTCAAGAGACAAGAATATTCCCTAAGGCCTCCTTTTGAATATACATCTTTCTGAGATCATTTTTCTGGTTTCCCTGAAGGCTGTCACATCAATAAATCTATCTTCTGCCTGGATCCTCGGTTTTGAAAATAATTTTGTCACCTTAGCCAGGCATAGCCAGCATTTCTCTCTTATAGGTATTTGTCAACCCAAGAAGAAATCTCTTGTTTGAACTGCTTCGTTTGAATGCATAAAAACATTTTATGTAGACGTTGGCATAATTGCAGATGGACATGAGTCTTTCTGCAAATAGGCCAATTGCCAAACAGACCATAGGAAGACCCTATCTGAAACTGGTCCAACATAAAATCAGTTATGTCCACTATGTGGAAGTCTTAGGAAGGTATAGTTTGTGGAGCATTAGTCTGAGACATCATAAGGATTAACTTGTACCAAAAGCTCCCAAGTATTTAAAAGAAAAAAAAAAAAAGTATCAAAAGCCTTGCTCTTCTAGAAACATTTAGAGCCTTCAAGACCACACACATTCAGAGAGTACTGATAATCCTCTCTCTGTTTGTAGGATTTGGAAGAGCTACAAAGAATAAAGAGCCACAATATTTGGACAAAGTGATGTATTCTTCTCTTCAGGCATATGTGATGGAAAATATGGACTTTCCCCCTTCAATTAATAAAATATCGTAAGTACAAGAAGCTTTGAGTATATAAAGACTTTCTAGGAATATAATAAATACACATACTTATTTGGTAGATTTAAAGTACGGATATTTTAAATATCACCTAGTTGTATAAAACTCCAATTTTCAAGGTACTATCATATACATTACCATGAAAGATTCAGCATAGCACATTTTATTATTCAACTAATATCTAAACAGCATTACTTACTTTTTCCACTTCTGATTACATGAGAGAGGCCATCAGCAATTAATTTTAAATTTAATTAGGATGTTTATCCTACCTGTTTCCAAACAAGATTTAAAATGATGCGTAATATTAAACCTAAGGTAAAATGGCAACATTAAAAATCAAAGAAGATACAAAACCAAGTAAAAGGAGTAGATGTTTCCAAGTAACTGCAACAAATTGAGATAGCTGGGCCATGAACTTGCCTCTCACAGGAGTTAGCATTTGCTCACCAGGTGGAAATGCAGAAACTCTGGGCTATTAACAGAACCATCTCACCATCAGGGCCCTTGGATTAATGATACTTCTGTATTTCTCAGAAAGTGGTTGGTGAACTAACTGAAATGGGATTTTCAGTGGTGTTTATTTTTAGAATGCAAATTCCTGGGCTTAACCTAAAATCACCAGTGGTAGGATTCTGGGATTATATTTTCACATAATCGTTAGGTTGTATTTTTGCTCTGTAAATTTGGACACCACTGCCTCTCTGGATTAGTGCTTGTTACATAGGAACAACTGAAAACCCAGCACCAAGAAAGTAGAAAATAAGGGGTGTCTGGGTGGTTCAAGGGGATAAGTGTCCAACTCTTGATTTTGGCTCAGGTCGTGACCTCTGGGTTGTAAGATAGAGTCCCCCCTCCATCAGGCTCCATACTGGGCAGAGAGCCTGCTTGGGATTCTCTCTACCCCTCTTCTTCTGCCCCCTTCCCAGACCTCTCTCCCCCTCTTAAAAAAAAAAAGAAAAGAAAAGAAAAGAAAAGAAAAGAAAAGAAAAAGTAGAAAATTGTTTTGGTAATCAGTCTCTTGGATACTGCTTTTTGCCTCCCTATTTCTGCTCTGTGTTCATACTATTTCCAATGCCTTGTCCATTGATCACTTAATATCTTACTTTGGATATTCCTACACGCTTGGCCTTTTCTGACTATAATATTCTCCTTCCAGCATCCCATCCCCTTCCTGCTCATCAGCTTGTTTTTGATTCCTGCCATAGGCTCCTGATATTTGTGTATGTTCCATCACCTGCTGGTAACTCCAGGCTCACTTTTATAGCTCTGCACATGCTGTAATCTCTACTTGTCTCGCTTGGGGATAATGTGCTCCACTGCTGTTTGTGGGAACATGTGAGATCCTCCCTCCTTGGCTTCTGGCCATCCATGCCCAAATGTGAACCTATGTAGGAGGAATTATCTGTTCTCTACCCTTTGATGTTATTTCCAGCTAATGGACCTTATTGGGTTATTCTCTATATTTGAAGTACATATCTCATGTTTTCCCACTCTCCAAATGCTCTCAGACAGAATCTACTGCTCTTGTTATTTTCCACTTTCCCCAATATATTCATTGGCTTATACTGTTGTCTCCTGTGTTTCATCATTCACTTGAAGGCATGTCCAACATCCTAATTAAATTTAAAGTTCATGGTCCTAATTTCTGTGCTATAATTATCAATCTTCCAGTCATATGTTTGGGAATTCATCTTCATTCAACA